AATGGGTTTGCCATGTGTGGTGACCCGTGATGCCTGGGGATGGAGTCCTGGTGACTGAGTGACTCCTGATCTGGTATAAAATGACCTGGAGTTTCCACAACATGTCACTTTGGTCCCTACCTGGGATAGATGAGGGGATAGAATAGCCCAATCCATTCCAATCGGCTAGTCACATAGTGGATAATGGGTCTAATAGGGGCATGAAACCTTACATCATATTATACTTGGGTAGATATGGTGGGGGAGTGCAGGTGTTTGTATCTACTCTCGTCACAACTATACTGTCTGTGTAACCCTGGCGGATGAGGGCGAATGGGATTAGTCAACATAAAATCTCTTAAGAAGGAACTCGGAGGTGGGTGGGAAGCTCAGGCAACCATTACAAAAATTAAATTTACATGGCTATCTCTTATAAGTGAACAGAGAGACAATATGAGATTTCTGAAAATGAAATAATAATAAAAAAAAAAAAAAATCAATTTCCAACTTTCATTGTTGTAGAATCAGTAGAGGATGATATAACAAAAGTGTCTTCTTTCATATTGCAAAGGGTTATTTCAGACATGATCAAACCACAATATGTTAAAAAAAAATAAAGAAAAATAATACTCTATTAATTAGAGTGATATCCAAAAGACACAGAGAAATTACTAAAAATCAACCAAATTGACAAAGTCAAGGCCTACCCCCATCAATTTCTTAATTTCTCAAAAGGAGTAATAAAATGTCCAGAACTGTCACTTTGCTCATCAGAAGAAATTGAAAATGACAACACCCTAAAAAAAAAGCAAGGAGTAAAAGATGTTTAAAAGAATTCAAGTAAAAAGAAATGACACAGTAATAACACCAACACATACATTTTGACATTTTACAAACCGACTGTAGCAAGAGAAATAAAGATGGGTTATACAATAGCCAAGGTAGAGCCATACATTCCTAATCCCTGTAGATGTCATAAATGTCAAAAATTTGGTCATCTTCAAAATGTTTGTACAAGAACATCAGTCTGTCGAAGATGTGAGGAACTGGAGACTGATCATGATGAGTCACTTTGTGAAGGCCTCCTTCATGTCCAAACTGTAAAGAAAAACATCCAGCAGACTCCAAAGAGTGTAACATTTGGAAAAAAGAAAAGGAAATAATTAGAAGAAAATACCCACAAAATATTTCATTCCAAGAAGCCAAGAAACAGGTTGATTCTAATTCACTTCAAGCATCATATGCAAATATCACTAAAATCAGCAGAAAGACATTCAAAGAAAACAATGCATTAAGAAGCCCAAATCTTATAACTCTTATTAAGGAATTAAAAAGTTTAATAGAACTACTAAAATGTAGTATATCACTTATAAATCAAACTTCCATAGATAAAAAAAATACCATGTCCCGTCAACCTCAAACAAAAAGACCCTACATGTACAAAACAATTAAATCCGAAAATTCCAAACCAAAGTACAAAAATCCAAGGTATAGAAACCTCTAAATATTCTCAAGAGAATCAAAAAGTACATTAAAAAAAAAAAAAAAAATACAACTCTTAGTGAAGAATCAAGAAAACTAGACATAGAGGAAAAAAAACTGTAGCCTATCACAAACAAGGGAATGGTCATCATCCATACAAAGATCATTGAAAAAAACAAAAGGAAAAACTAAAGGAACATAAACAAACAAGCAGAAACAAAAGAAGTTCAAAGAACAAAACACAAGAAACAAAATGCTAATAGGCTGGAGAGCATAGAAAATATGGATACTTCATCCACTAAACATAAATTGGACAAGTAAAAATTCATGAAATCTAATATATAAACAAGTATAATGTCAAACATATCCTACTAAATTGCCGTAACCTCCAGCAAACCCATATAAAACATTACAAATCGGATAACTTCAAGGATTTATTTCAAAATATCAATCCAAGTAACATCATAAATTTCAATTAAAAAAAAAAAAAAATAAATGGGGTCTACAGGAAAATTAAAAAAAAAAAAAAAAATTTACTAAATCAGCTTACTTAGATTCATAAGCTAGTTTGCGGGGTAGGGGGCGATTTTTCCAACAATACATCTTTAGTTACCAGCAATGCTTTTATGAGGGAAAATTATTACCAGCAATGTATTTTTGAAGAAAGTTATTACCAGCAATATAGTTTTGAAGGAAAAATTATTATCAGAGATAATATAATTTTTCCTTCAATTTTGAAGGAAAAATTGTATTATCAGCAATACAGTTTTGAAAAGGAATATTACCAGCAATATTTTTGGAAAAGCATTGCCAGCATTTGATTTTAAAAGGACGGATATTGCTAGAAAAAAATTTTTTGAAGAAAAATATTACCAGCAATAAAAATTGTTGGCATTAAATAACCAATTGAGGTTGACATGTCGTAAATCCCAACCAAACCAAAGCAAACTTTGCCTCAGTTAACAACAGTGTGTAGGTCATCTTTGAGATCAACTGCCAATTTGACCTTATCGAACTGATCAGTTTTATTAAAACAGGAGTTGTATCATTAGCATAGATACTAAGTTGAGAATTGATTACACCAGGAAGGTTGTTGATGAAAATTAGGAACAATATAGGTCCAAGGATAGAGCTCTGGGGGACACTTGCATTAATGCAAAAGTATCTAGAAGAGTGGCCATTCAAGATAACTTTCATTTCATGATTTGATAAAAAGGACTGAATTAGTTCAAAGATTTTGTCTAGAAATACCATATCCTTTCAACTTGTGAAGATCGGTATGCCAAATCCTGTTAAATGTCCTCAAGATATCCAAAGCAACAGCTCAACCTTCACCATTCTTATCTAAAGCTTGATAGACTCTTTCAGCAATAATCATTAATTCATCAGCATATTGTTTATCTGATAGAAGACCCTGCAAGATGATAGGCTTAACCAATTCAATTAGAGCCTCTAGTGCTTTGCCAGAAACAGGTTGAAGTCTAATAAACTGATAAAAAGATTAGATGGTTCACCTGCGGTCTTAAATACTTGAACAATCAGGAAAGCAAGAAGCAGCAACACATTTATTGTACGGTTTAGAGAGAACAGGAATCCGTTCACAAGCGTATTTCTTAAGGCCTATTGCAGGGATACCATTGTCCACATAGCTTTGTGAGGATCCAGTTTAGCGATGATAGCAGAAACAATAAAAGGAGTTATATACATGTCATTCAATAGAGATTCAGTTCTAAGTGGAAAGTCAGGCAAAGATACTCCAGATGAGCAAAGAGTAGAATTTGAAGAGAATTTAAAAGCAAGATCTGCTGATAAAGCAGATGTTCACACCTCTAATTGAGTGAAGAAAGAAGGAATAGAAAACTTAATCATTTAAGACACAATTACAGAGCCACCAGTAGACACAGGAACCAAACTTGTTAGAGGCTCTACAGTCTCTCATTCTATCAGCAAACAAAGACTTGTCCTCCTTGAGGACTCTTTTGAAATTATTACTGTAAAGTATGTGACCATAGTTAACCTGCCCAAGAAACAGACAGCAATAAACAATAAGAAAAGAACAGGGCAAAAAAATATGAAGCAAGCAAACAATATATGCAAGGCAAAGCAACACTAATAAGACAAAAATTTCACAAACATAGAATGGATTCAGATGAATGTAACATTCTGGCTTCAATACAAGACAGACCAAAACTGAGTTAGGCTACTTCTTGGTAGCATCTATCTTATTTGCTAGGAAAAAATCCCAGCCTGAATCTGTGTCTTGCCTATGAATTGGGGAAGGTGATGTATTTTGCAGTCATTCATTTAGGATTAGAACCAACAATTACACATATGTGCATTCCTCCTTGGGCTTTTGAACAGGAGTAGAGGGTTTATCTCTTGTTTCCTGTTTAGGATTGGATTTCTGGTTCCTTCTAAAGTCTTTTTTTATTCTCTTTCATTCCTAGTAGCCCCTTGCATATTAGTGGTATCATCACCTTGTTTGGGGTGAATTGATTGATATATATATATATATATATATATATATATATATATATATACACACAGTCATTAACAAATGACCACCTTGTTATTTTACTATCTTAAATTTAAAAAAAACACAGTAATAAGAATTTATGCAAGACTAATTCCATTTTACTCACAAATTTGTAAATGATGTTTTTTCATTTCAAGTCAAATAATCCAACGATCAGTATTTTGTACAACTTCCTTTGCTTTTGATTACTGTTTGGGTGCAGCGAAGCATGCTATGTATCAAGTGGTTACAGTAGTTAGCTGAAGTTTCTTTTGTCCAGACTTCTTTATTAATCTCTCCCAGTGCTGCTGCACTTGAAAGTTTTTTTTTTTTTTTTTTTTTTTTGCAACTTTATTTTTGATAGTTTTCCATATCTTCAATTTGGTTCTGATCTGGGCTGCGTCCTGGCCAGTCCAGTGTTATGTTATTATTGATATCACTAATTTTATTTAGTTTATTAATATTGGTAGTTAAGTATATATTAGATTCTTTAAGAATAGATTTAATAAGGGTTGCTGATGTAATATAGTGTTTTTAACATGTATTTATAGTTGGTAAAATTTTATCGGGACTCTGTTGAAGTATTTTCAATGTAAAGAATTATGTTCTTTTTTAATTAGGGTGGCATTTGTAAAATCAGTTATGGCCAGTCTTGTTCCTGTGTATTACAAGAGAGTTTAAATGGTTGTCTTATTGTAGGTCTCTCTTGTGTTCACAGATGCAAGCTTTTAGACTTCGAGATATCTCTCCAATATAAGTGTATTTATATTGCAAGCGTTTTATCTGATAAATCTTGGCATCTGAAGTGGTGTCAGATCTATTTTTATTCCAATCAGTGGTATAATTAGGATGAAAAATAGATTTCTAATTTTTTAAATGCCTAAAAATGTTAAAACTGGTTGTTGCACATCTCCCCCCCCCCATATCAAAACTATTAATGATTATTGTTACCATAATTGTTTTAAAAAGCTACTACAAAATCATATTAATTTAAATATGTCTAACCTGTTCACTTTGATTTCAGGATTACCTTGGAGAAACTCCACTTCATAAGGCTGCCCGCACTGGAAGCATGGAATGTGTTAGTTTACTGGTTTCATATCAGTCTAACTTTAAGTATGTTCTTTTTATTATGCATTTTAATGAAATTGTTTTGTACACAAGTTAATTTATTGTAATCTCTAACACATATTGTGAAATACTATAAATTACTTTGTTTCACAAACACAAAGTGACCAATCTTTATCAATATTTTTGAAATTGTACACTCAGTTAGAAGACACATTAAACTACAGCCACGAAGATGTTCATTTCTTCTCTGATCCAATGAAGTGAATTCCTTCAAAAATTATAAAGTAAGCAAAAAAAAAGAAAAAAGCAACTGATAGTAATAAATGTGTGGTAAAAGAACTTTGAAATTATTGAAACTACTGTCTGACACTGACTAGTGGCTAAAAAAGAATAATTTTTACTTTAGGTTTAAAAAAAAAATGATTTACAGTTTTGAAAATATACACATTTTAAAACTGAGATTAAAACTTACATTATTTTTTAATATGTAATTTTAGGAGTATTGGCGAGATAGAAACTAAAAATAATTTTAAAACAATTTTTTTACACTAGACTCACATATCTGGAAATATACACATTTTAAAAGTGAAATTAAGAACTATTTTAATTATTCTTAATATCTAACTTAGGTGCATTCCCTAGATAAAAAACAAATTTATGAAAAAAAGAAATATTCATTCATTTTTCTTGTTTACAACTTTATTTCTTGATTGGCTTAATGGCTTACTAGAAAACAATTACCCTTCTTACAAAAAATCCCACTTCATAAAATTTAACATTAAGATGAAACTATTTTTTTTTATCTTGTTAATTGTACCACAAAAATTTTTTTTTTTTTTTTTTTTTTTTTAACTGAAAAAGATTTGACATCATGTCTTATTTCCTTTTCCTCTTCATTTCTTTTGTAAACAAATAGATTTCACATTTATTTCCTAAAACTAGTCAATTGTTTTTAACAAATTTTTGTTCAATCCCTTTCTCTTACAATAGTATAAATGTTGATAAAATTAAATTTTGTTAACATCTTCTGCCTTAAACAATATAAATCTGGCTATAATGTGCCTCCAAGAGACCTTCAAAGACAACACTATTAAAATTAAAAACTACCAGCTATACAATCACATCTACACTACTGGACTTAGGGCTTTTGGAGGTACATCCATTCTTGTCAAGAACAACATACCCCAAAGTGAAATAAAATTAAATACCAAACTACAAGCAATAGCCATTAAAGCAACTGTACATAGAGAAATAAATATGTTTGTTCTACATTCCACCTGATAATACCATTAATGAAAGCAAGCTGAGCACCTACCAATTACCCAATCCCTTCATAATATTGGGAGATCGAAACTGTTACACCACCATATGAGGAAGTAGAGAAATGAAGCTGAAGGACAGAATAATAGAGAAAGTGATCAATATAAACAATCTGTTTACTTAATGATGAATCCCAAACGTATTTGAGTCCATCAATTGGTCACTATTCTGCTATAGATTTAATTATGTGTCGCCCCCTCAATTCACATAGTTTATACATGGAAGGTATATCTGAATACATGTGGCAATGACCACTTTCCAATTGTGTTGGGGAACTCTAAACCAAACAAAGATTGAAGAAGGCAGACTGGGAAAGGTATGAAAACAAATGCAAGAAAAGGCTAATTCAGGATTTCAATAACAAAAACTTAAAACATTTTACAGAGACTCTTCTAGCCATAGCAACAGAATGTACAAAAAAAAAAAAGCAAAGAGTAGCTAATAGAAATAAACCCTGCTTTGATAAAAATTGCCAGGACATAATCAGACTTAGATGAGCAGCCCTACATAAGTTCAATAAAGACCCAACTACATCCAACCTCATTATATTCAGATATCTCAGAGTGAAGACATAAAAAGCAATTAAAGAAACCAAAAAATGTTAGGAAAATATTTAAGCAGTCTTAATAGCCACTTTCACACCAAAAAATTTGGGAAATGATTAAAAAAAATGTCTAGCAAGAATCAATCCATTCCTATAAAACATCTTGAAACAAACAATAAAAAAGTAACGAATAAGAATGAAATAATAACTTACTAGCCAAAACACGTGCAGAAAACGCATTAGAATTAGAAAATGCATAAAGAATCATTACAATACCTGCTAAACACATCCAAAAATATTTGGAAGAATGGAGAGTTTCCCAAAATTTGGAAACTATCAACAGTTATTCTCATTCCCATGGTTTCTAGAAAAACACAATCTTCTATCCAAATACCAGTGTAGTTTCTGAAAGGGAAAAAACAAGATAAGATTGGGAACTTGTATAAGAGAGGCTGACATAAGAACACTTGATAGCTATTCTTTAATTTAGAAAAAAACATGATATCATGTGGAAGTATGGTGTCCTGAAAGACTTAATCAAAATTGGGCTGAGAGGTAGACTATAACTAATTTTATGAAGAAATTTTTATCTGAAAGGAACTTTAAAGTTCATATAGGATTGACACTTTCCAACCTCTGAAAGCTAGAGGAACGAGTACCCCAAGGTAGTATATTGTTGGTGAAGCTTTTCAGCATCAGAATCAACAATATTGTCAATTGCCTGAAATCCGGGGCTGAGGGTTCACTCAACTTCCTCATATACTACTGATCAGAATACATCCACACAGCAGAGACACAATTACAACAATGCTTAAATAAAATAAGTAAATGGGCAACATCAAACAGATTCCGATTTTCAAAGACAAAAACTAAATTTACTTTTGTAAAATTGGAAAATTTCACTATGACCCTGTACTAAAACTGGAAGGGTCAGAAGTAGCAGTGGTAAAAGAGCATAAGTTTTTGGGTGTTGTATGATAAAAAAACTCTACTTCATCTCTCTGTCCTGGGTATGATGATAAACTACATCTGCATCCTGGGTAAGACAATAAACTACATTCAACAGCAAGGCTTCTGATCAGGAGGTTTTGAGGAACATGGCACCACCACTTAATTGCTGGTATTCTCAGGTCCACTCTGATCCGGAGTGGTAGCACCTGTTAGGGTCCCAGCTATGGGCAAATAGTTAACCCCTAAACTGGAGTCAAAGCACTATGAAAGTGTAAAAATAAGTTTTAATACAAGCAATACATTTTTGTAAAAATATTATTACTAACAATAAAAATTTTGTCAGCATTAAATAACCCATTGAGGTTGACATGCCATAAAACAAACCAAACGAAACCAAACCTTCATCCATCATGTAAGAAACCTTAAAGCAAAGTGTAACAAAGCATTTCAGCTTACTTGCCTGATAGTCCATAAAAATTGGAGAGCTAACAAAAGAACTTTAATGAAACTGTACAGAACCATAATCCATTCCAAGCTTGAGTATGGCTGTAAGATCTATGGATCTGCTAGAGGGTCATATCTGAAACCATTAAACACAATACATCATGAAGGCATCAGACTTGCACTGGGAGCCTTCTCTACCTCCCCAATTGAAAGCGTTTATGTGGAAGCTAATGAACCATCACTTCTAAGAAGAGAAAAATTAGCTCTTCAATATTACCTCAAATTAAAATCTTGCCCTTCTAACCCAGCACTCTTAACCTAAAATGTAAACAACTTTTCAACCAAAAACAAGAATTCCTTTTGAGAGAATACACAGAACTGAACTCTCAGATATCCCCCCTGCACCATCAAACAACCTGTAATAGACGTGACAGTGACTTACCAGGAGTAAAATGAATTCGCTGCCTCGTGTGTCGAACCATTCTCTGACAGTCAGTTGTGCGTGCATATGCCTGCTGCCATTTTTATGCAGGAGGCTTATTTGCATAAGAGAACAACGCTACCTGTTAAAAACCAGGCGAGTGGACGTGGGGGACCACTGCTCTTCTAGGCTTTGGTGAGACTAGATGTATTGCTGAAAGAAAACGACATCATTTTCTGGACACCTGACACAACCCAATGTCACAATGAATCTGAGCAAGCTTCAAAAAACTAAAATTCAAGTGATAGCTTCAATACAAGTTTTGGGTATGTATTTTACAGAGCAATGAGATATACCATGTTGTCCAAATTTTACTTGCAGAGGGTCTTGCTTTCTTGCGGGCCTTTCTTCAGTAAACCTTTTCTTTAACTGATTCCAATGCCTTTTGTGTTCCCATTTTTTCTTTTACTATAATAATCACTTTTCCAATTCATGACCTTATTATGCTGTCTTCTCACATTTCTTTTCCATTTTTGCTCTGAAAAACACTTTTTTGTCAATTTTGAAAAATTTTGTGTCCTTTTTGTTATCCGTTCTTCTTTTTTTGACCTAATAACAGCTTGTCAAACACCAATTTAATTTTTCTTGTGAACATCAATTCTGCTGGCAACATGCCTGATAGTATATTGGTGCATTGTATTATTGGCTATACTCTCAAGAATTTTTGTAGTGCTGCTTTGCTCACTTTTTCATTACTTGCTCTTTTCAAAGCTCTCTTAAAAGTACCCACAAACTGTTCAGCTTGTCCATTTGACCTTGGGTCATATGGCGGTGTAGTAATATGTTTAATTGAGAACATTTTACAAAAATCTTTAAATTCGTTAGCAGTGAATTGTGTACCATTCTCTGAGACTATGGCATCCGGGATGCCAGGTCTTTCAAATAGTTCATGTAAAAATATTCACTGTAACCGTGAAAGTTGGCTTTTGTACTTAGAAATTTCAGGCCACTTAGTAAAGCTATCCTCTACCACAAGATAATGTGATCTGCCTATTGGACCTGCAAAATCTGCGTGCAGTCTTGACCATGGAGTATCTGTCTTTGGCCAAGGTTGTAATTTTGTGGTAAGTGATTTTGCTGCCAGAGCACAAACTCTGCAGGCTTTTACTAATTTTTCAATGTCTTCCTCCATTTTTGTACAGTGTACATAGCTTCTTATAAGAGATTTCATCCTATGTCCACTAAGAAATTCATTTAATATCCACTTTTGTAATATGCCAGGTATTACTACTCTTTGTGCAAACATCAGTACTCCATCACATAGCGAGTAATTGTTCAAGTCTGGATTGCGTTCATCTATCTGACTTTCTTTTAGTTCTTTTTTTAGTTTTTATATTTTCGAAATAAACAGGTTTTCTTCTGCTTTTACTTTTATTTCTTCCAGGTTAACTGGTAGTTCGCGTAATACATTGCATAATATAATTTTTAATTTATATTTCAATTTTTAATACTGCAATAACTGTATCCTCAAACAGTTCAGTATTTTTTTTGGTGTCAATCTTGATAAACCACTTGCATGTCCTAATTTTTTAGACAGTTTGTTTTCCATCCTGTAATTATAATTTAATAAGATGGTACCACAGCATTGCAATCTACTTGCTGTATGCATATGAATTCCTTTTTTTTTTTTTTTTTTTTTAACCATAAATTGATAGTAGAGGCTGATGGTCTGTCTGCAAACAAAAACTCCTCCTGTGTATAAATTTGTGAATTTTTTTTTTTCACTGCTAATATTATTGCTAACGCCTCTTTTTTTGATTTGACTGTAGACTTTTTTTTCTGCTGGTGGTAGTGAACATGAAGCATCTGCAACAGCTTTTATGTTACTGTCATCATATTTATATAGAATTACAACTCTTGTACTATAGTCACTAGCATCTGAAACAGATCATTAGGATTTCTACTTTTGGATTGTAGTGTGCTAATGATAAATCTTGATTTCTTCAAATGCCCTATGACACTTATCAGTCCAGTTCCACTTTATGCCTTTTTTTAAGCAAATTGTTCAGTGGAGCTCTCAAATTCTATATATTAGGTATGTAAATTTTGGTAATAGTTTGCTAGTCCGAGAGATGTGTGTAACCTAGTAACATTTGTTGGAGGAGACATATTCTTAATTGAACTTGACCTCGATGGATCTGGTTGATAACCATATTTGTCAATGATCTGTCCTAGGTACCTGGTTTTGAGGAAAAACAATTTGCACTTTTCATTGCTGACTTTGAACTTGTACTCTTGTATTTTAAAAACTTTTCACATACCTGGTATGTTGTTCTTTAGATACACTTTAAATTAATATATCATCCAGATAAGCAACTGTGAAATCACAAGTGCAAGCATAGTATCCATAGTTTATTGAAATATAGCTGGAGCCACTTTTATTCCAAAAGGAAGTCAGTTGAATTTATACAGTCCCTTGTGCATATCTATAGTTATACAGTCCCTACAGTCCCTTGTGCATATCTATAGTTATTAACATTTTTCTTCAACCTGTATTTGCAATTATGCTTCAGAAAGATCCAGTTTCAAAAAAGTTTTACCTCCAATTAAATTCACAAAAATTTCTTCTGGACTTGATAATGGGTAGTTATGAGGTTCTGAACATTTGTTTATCCATGTGAAAAAATCAGCACAAACACGAATTTTGTTATTTTTTTCTTTACATACACTGCTGGTGCTGCCCATTTTGAATGGTCAGTTACATCTATTTTTTCAAGTGTGTTTAATTCTTCATTGACTTGATCCAATGCTGCAAATGGCACACTGTTTCAGTTTAAACACTGGTGTCAACCCTTTTTCATTTGAAATTTCACTTTCACTTTGGAACACTGACCTAACTCATCTGACAGAACATTGAAAAAACATTTTTTCCTTTAAATTTTCACTTTTTTTTTTTTTTTTTTTTTTAACTGGTTGCTTGTCCACTTAAGTTTTTGCAATAAATATTTAAATCCCACAGCTTAAATAATTACATTCAGTCAGTACCAAATAAGTTTGTAGTATTTTTTGATGCATAAGCCTTAGCTTTTACACACTTGTTACAGAATGAGTTGTTACAAGTCATTTCGCCAATAAAAAATAATTTCTCACTTGATATGCCACATGTGATTTTCAAAGGTCTTTTTAATATAGATTTCCCATTTGCTTTTCATGTGGCTTTGTTGATATTGCTACTAGTGTGGCAATGTTTTCTGCACATCCATCACTGTGCAACTGTGATGATATCCAAGGTTGGTTGCATGCATATATATACCCAGCTAGCTCTGTTTACAGGTTTGTCTCCTTGGCTGTGATCGAATTTAACAAAGAATAACAACAAATGAATTTCAAAACACTGGTTGGGAAACAGCAACAATACAATTTCTCACTTAACCATGGTTTTGCTTCCTCAAGGTGAACTGCTACCTTGCTAACTTCAGCCATGGAAAAAGAACCCTTACATTCACTGACCATCTAATTGACTTCTGATCCCTTCCTCACTGACTGCTCCTTACTGACTGCCCCTTTGCTTCCTGAGAACTCATATGGACACTGACTGGGGTCCTACCACCCCTGGCCATCCACTTGTGTTTCAGAAAAGACTACACACAAGCTGGATTGGTGGTCATTTTTTTTCAAAGGGCTTCTTTTTTTTTTCTTTTTAATGATTATCTAAAATCACTAACACAATTTTATATTTGCCAATTCAAAGGCAGGCTGGAGACAGGAAACCTGAAAAGTTTGGTAATTAAATTGACTTAAAAGAAAAAAAGAACCTATTTATCTCCTAAGGCTGTGTGAGAATTCATATTGTGACACCAGTGTCTAGTTGCATTTTTACATCCACATTATTAATTTTCACATTTTCTTTGGTTTTTGGTAATTATTTTTTTCCATCACAACGCTGTATATGATATTTTTTCGGTGAGAACTTTTCATTGCTTTAGTTTTACAGTGTGATTTTTTTTTTTTATGTCCTACTTTCCACCCTTGTAGTACTTCCACTTCTTGCTGTTGTTGGTGGTGTTGGATTTTTATCACTTGGGCTAATAATTCTCCCATATTTGAAGGATATCTGTTTTTTGTTTTTTGTTTTACATGCACCAAAAAGAAAAAATTAAACCAACGTGGTCCTAATTTCTTGTTTTCACTGTTATCATGTGCAGCAAAGCAAAAAAAAAATAGTTTTTTTTCCTACTCATATAAGTTTCAATCCCTCATCACCACTGTTATAACTCACTCCTCGTGGTTATAACATTGTCTTGCCATGACGACTGTTAGAAATTCTCCTGATTGACTCCAATGGATTTCCCTGACTCGCTTATATTTAAGGCATCTTGCCTAGTTCATTTGTGTTACTGGGGTGGGGGGGTATTTACTCCACAACACCCACTTGATTCTGTTTTCTGTAATTTGTGCATTGACATGATTATTCTTGGGAAGGATTGTGTAGTTGTTGCCTTCTCCATGGTGAATTTATCAAGACAACAGTTCTACTTAGCTGACCATTGACTCTTGGAGTCCACTGACCTTTTCATAGGTCTTATTTTTCTTCCTACAGAGTTGCTAACCATCCTCTTTATCCACTATGAAGTGGAGCTAAGTCAGTTTAGTTGTTGACAGTATAACAAAAAAAAAAAAAAAGATGTTTTGTGATTTCTATTGAAATATGTCTGTTTCTTCTCTGGTTAATTTAATCCATTATATGTAACAAAATGATTTGAAGTGAAAGAAAATGTATTGTGATTTTGACTGGTATGTATCAGTAAATTCATAATCTGATATAATTATTATTTGAATTTTGATTTGAAAGTTTTACTGTGTAATTGTTTGATCTGTGTCACTAATGGTGAAATTGTTTGCTACTTTCGTACAACTAATGAAAATAATCTCAAACATTTCATTTGCATGATATTTTTTATAATGCAGAAATTATTTTGGATGACTGCGAATATTTAAAGTATGTAAAAAAAAAAAAAAAAAAAAAAAAAAATATAAACCATTATTTAAGTTAATAGAAAAGATGAGTAAAATATAAAACTAAAAAATCAGTCTGGAATTTACTTTTTATGTTAAAACTTTGCTAAAATTTCAGTTTCTATTAATTTTATCATATTCATATCTGTCATAGAGATGGCTGTAGTAGTGACTTCAGATAAAACTAAATTTTTACTTAATAAATGCTTCACTTTTGCATTGTATACCTAAACCATAAGTAGACAGAAAAGAGAAGTTAAACGTTTAAAAAAAAACAAAAACATTTAGTTGTGAAGATCCTTCGGGGAGATTCTTATATTGTCATAATAATAAATATTTAAAAAAAATATTTCTACCATGACTTTATTAAAAAAAAAAAACATATTTATAATAATTTCGATCATCTGTGAATAGTTCCTGAAAGTTTCATTAACATCTGACAATTATTTCTATTTTTGCACGATTTTTCAAATTAATGTGTGTCATATCAAAAAAACATGCTAAAAATTGTTATTTGTTTTTTGTTATTTACTAGTTCCGCTGATACAAATAGAAACAAGGTTTTTTTTAATCAAAATTTAGAATGTTCTAAAAAGAAGGAAAATTTTTTAAAAATAATTAAAAAAAAAACTTTGGTCTTTCCTCTTAATAACATAAGCATTTAGGCAATAAAATTTTGTTTTTGGCAAGGTTGGCGTCTTTTTCATCAAGCTATGCTCTTTTTTTAGCGATTTCGTGGAGGTACCTAAGTAAAAATGAATAAATGACTTAGCTTGTAGGAAATTTGTTAAAAAGATGAGATCACGACAATATTTTGTCTATAAATCTAAACTGAATTGATGTAAAGCACTATATAAGCTGCCATTTAACAAATTAAAATATATGTATCAATACAAAAGCCTTTATTTTATTCTTTGCAGTATTCAGAATCATAAAGGACAAACTGCTAGTCAATTAGCTAGATTGTGTGGTTTCCCAAATTGTGCTACTTACCTAGAACATGCATCAAGTGTAACCTTATCTCCTCTTTCCAATATGGAAACCGATGACCAGAAAACATTACCATCACAAAGCATTAAAGAGCCATCAATGACAGACATTCTCATGGATCATGGTGTTATGCAGAACTCCAAATTGGTTGGTGGCCGTAAAAGATCACGAGAAGATCTTGAAGAAGGAAGCTATAAAAAGCTGCGACAAACTGGTAAGTTGTAAGCATTTTTTTCCATTTAAAATTCATGGTTCATGTTACAGTTTAAATTTTGCTTCTATAAATGTAGGTAAATCATAATAGTTACCAAGTCAACAACACATTTAAGAATCAATCTACTCTTAAACCTATTTTGATGCAATTCTGTAAACCTATAGAGAAAAATATAGTTTTCTCTGTAATGCATTTTCATAGATATGTTTTTCGCTATTAAAAAATAGATACTTATAAGCAATAATGCCAAAAAAAATGAAATTGAACATTCACTCCTGTCAGTAGTTCCTAATTTCTATGCAATACTTTTTTTTTCTATTTTTAGCATCAGAGTATGGTGTATAAAGCAATTTTTTTTTTTTTTTTTTTAATTATCTACCATTTATCAATTTTGTTTGATTCTTACTATAGTCTGGTTGATTTTAGAGTGAATATAAGGTGTACCTGGAAAAAAAAGGTTAATGTTATTCAATGGACAAGCTTATTTGAAAATGGACTTTATTTGGACATTTCTGGATCAGTCAAGTAAACAACCAACCCAATGTGGATGGTAAGAAATACAGAAATAGTGCACGTTAGAAGAGAGATATTGTTGATATGACCCGAGTCTTCAATTGGATCTCTCAGCACAACCCCTTGACCCAAGCCAGCTGGAACTATAATCAGTATCATCTGGTTTGACAGCATCCGATGGTGCTGGAATCAATTGTGATATTGTTGAGAAGATTGGTCACTCTATCCAGAAGAAGCTTGGCAATGTGAATGTTTTAGTGAGCTCTCTGAAAAGTGCAGCTGGAAAAATGTGTAAAGATTGATGGTTAAAATGTTCATGTTGACCCTTGTGCTCTGTTTTCTAGTCTGTTTTTTTTTTGCTGGAAAGATGCAAAAATGTAACTCTGTTCTTAAAGTTCAAACTCACTCCATTTCCAACTACAATTTTCAAGAATTGCCAAATGAGAAAGATAAACAAAGCCTTGCTGAAACATCATCTAACTACTGACATATACCTGAATCTCAGCCACCAATGTTGGTTTTAGATGGAGGTGATCTACTCTACCAAGTAAAGTGGTTGCCTAAGGTAATATACTGTGATGTGGTTGCACAGTACCTGAGCTATATGAAAGCCAAGTATGGGCCATCAAATATTTTTGTTGGTTACAATGCATGCTCATCCATAAAAGACCATGAACATCTGCAAAGAGCACCGATTTTTGTTGATATTATGCTGTCTTCCCATGTTTCTTTGCCATCCTTATATGCTCTAGAGAACACTTTATCATCGAGCTTGAAACTTTTGGTGTTGCTTTTGTTATCGGTTTGTGTTTTTCAAACGCCAATTTTAGTTTTCTAACATTAATTCCACCAGTGACATGCCTGATGGTGTATTGGGGTCAGACATTACTCAGTAAAGTCTCAGAAAATTTTGAATTTTTTGGTTTCTTCAACACTCTTTTGAACATTACCACAGTGTTCTGCTTGTCTGTTCAACCTTTAGTGATATGGTGGGGTTGTAATATATTCAGTGGAGAACATCTTACAAAAGTCTTCAAATTCTTTACTTGCAAATTGTGTCAGAGACTATGGTATCTGGTATGTCATATCTCGCAAACATTTCATACAAGAAATTCACTGTCACTGAAGATGTTGGATTTTTGCACATAAATTTCCAGCCATTTAGTTAAACTATCAACTACCACAAGATAATGTGATCCATTTATAGGAACTGCAAAATCTATATGCAGTCTTGACCACGGCGTGTTTGTCTTTGGCTAAGATTCTATTTTTGTGATGGGTAGTTTTGTTGCCAGAGCACAACCTCTGCAAGCTTTCACTATTTTTTCAATATCTTGGTCCATTCTGGTCTAATATATGAAACTTCTCATCAGGTATTTCATTCTTGAAATACCAGGATGTCCACAGTGAAAATCCTTCAATATTCACTTCTGTAACACACTATGTATTACAACCCTTCGACCAGATATTACTACACCATTGCATAGCAAGTAAACATTTAAGTCTAAATTTTGTTCTTTGTTACTTTCTTTCAATTGCTTTTTTTTATTTTCGTAATAATGACCTCATTTTCTGCTTTTTCTTTTATTTCTTCCAAGGTAATTGGTAATTCTCGTACTACGTTGCACAAAATGTTTTTTATTTCCATTTCGCATTTTAGTGCTGCAATGACCATGTCCTCAAATGGTTCTGCATTTTTAAGTATTAATCTTGATAATCCATCTGTATGTCCTAATTTTTTAGGCAGTTGTACTCCATCGTAAAATCATAAGGTGGTGCTCCAGCATTGTAGTCTAGCTGTATGTGTAGATATTCCTTTATTTTGAACAATATATTGTTAATAGATGTCTGTGGTCAGCAACCTAAAATTTCTATAATTTTTCACAGCAAATATAATTGCTAGAGCCTCTTTTTCTATCTGGTTGTAATTTTTCTCTGCTGGTAGAAGCAAGTGTGGAGCATGGGTGAAGGCTTTCATTTACTGCCGTTGTATTTATATAAAATCACTACTCCAATACCCTACTCACTAGAATCTGATGCCATTTCAATTTCTGCTTTTGGATCATAGTGTGATAATGATAAATCTGACATATGTTCTTTTTATTTTGTCAAACGCCTTTTGACAGTTATCATTCCAGTTTCACTTTACTCCATTTTTAAGCAGATCATTCAATGGAGCTCTCAAATTATACATATTATGTATATGTGTGTTCATATATATATATATATATATATATATATATATGAGATAGTCCTAGAAAAGCTTGTTACATTTGTTGGAGGAGGCATATTTTTAATTGCACTTGCTCTTGGCAAATCTGGTTGACAATCATTTTCATCAATAATTTGACCAAGATATTTAATCAGTTTGCATTTTTCTTCACTGAGCTTGAATCTTTACTCTCTTTCCTAGTTTTTCCATGCCCAACATGTTGTTCTTTAGATAAACTTTTGATTAAAATGTTGTCCAGATACACCACTGTGTAATTGCAATCCACAAGCATGGTATCATAGCTTGTTAAAAAATAGTTGGTGCCACCTTTGTACCAAAAGGAAGTTGGTTAAACTTACATAATCCTCTGTGTGTATTTATGGTTGTTAATTCTGAACATTCATTTTCAATCTAAATTTGTAAATACAATTCAGAGAGCTTTGACAATATTCTTCCGACATTTAACTTTGAAAAAATTTCCTCTGGACTTTGTAATGGGGACTTATTTCTAAACAAATGTTTAATCCTGTTGAGAAATCCATGCAAATACAAATTTTATTATACTTTTTCTTTACATAAACTGCTGGTGCAGCCCATTTGAAGGGTTAATTTTTTCTATTATACCACTTCTTTTGAGTTAGTCCAACTCTTTGTTGACTTGTTCCAATGCTGTAAATGGTATACTCCATTTCAGCTTAAATACTAGCATCAAACCTTTTTTAATTGCAAATCTACCTTGAATTTTGAACACTGACCCAGTTCATGTGACAGAATATCTGAAAAACATTTTTTTAAATTCTTCCTTAAGATTTTTGCTCTGACTTTTTAAATTGGTTGCTTGTCCACGTATGTTTCTGCAATAAACATTTATCAGCAAATCCCAAAGTTCAAATAGTTCCATCCAGGCAGTACTGAATAAATTTGTAGCATTTTTTAGTGCTTTAGTTTTTACATGCTTATTACGGAATGAGACATTTCGAGTCATTTCGCAAAAAAAAAAAAAATTTCTCACCAGAACTGAAATTTCAACTTTGGAAGTCCTTTTTAATAAAGGATTTTCAATTTCTTTCCATGTAGTTTCACTGATTATTGAAATCTCCCTATCTGTGTCCAGTAGCATTTTCACACCCACATTATTTATTTTCACATTCACAAATTTCCTTTTGTTTTCTGTGATCATTCTTCCATCACAATGCTGTGTACAAATTTCTTCCTGTAAGAATCTTTTCTTGATTTGGTTTTGCAGTGTGACTTTATATGTCCTTGTTTCCCATACTTGTAGCATTCTGCTTTGTTTATAAAAAAAAATAAAATAAAAATTTCTTTATAAAAATAACATTATTCTCGTTTGGTGAAATATATTAAAACTTATCTGGTTTTTATTGCTTGGCTTTATATTAAAAGTTCAACCCTGTCCCTTTACTTTAGTATTTCTGCCAGAGATGGCTATAAAATGTACAAATATGTGAACGACTCTTAGGCATTTGGCCAGATGTCATAAAAATTTTTTTAACTTAATTAAAAAAAAAAAAAAAACAGAAAAATGTCTGCAGTGCTGTCAAATGTGAATGACATTTTATTCTCAGTGAAATGGCATATTTTTGTGTCTGTTTCAAAAGGACATTGAACTGTTTCTGATAAAATATCAGGGTAATAAGCTGTTGCTACCTTTCCTTGCAGATGATGTTTTAGCATGATCATAAAATTAAGATTTGTAAAGGAAGAGCACATTAAAAAGATAATTACATTTTACAAAAAGAATGAATATGTAAGAATTTTGTCAAACCCAAACATGCATAAAGATGCTGCAAAAATTGAGTGTGGATTCCTGGCAGATAAGACTATGCAAAATTTATAATTTATATAATTTGTATTTTAGCCTTCAACACTTGCATTTCTTCATTGTGACATGAATTATTGGAACAGCTGTAGCTTTTCTTTGAACATCTTATCTATCAAACTATTAAAAGATAAATCCCAAAATTTGTATTTTTGAAATTGATGCCCATTTACAGAGTATGTGCATGCCAGTTTCAGTCCTTGAAACTTCTTAACATGGTCCTGAAAAAGTCCCGGAATTTTTTTACACAGATCTGTGGGAATCCTGTGTTCACTCAGTAAGAGTTTCCAAAATCCTTGTAACTCCAGTTATGATTCATATGAGTTCCTGAATCCTTGTTACTGTTATAGGTCATGAGAATTCTGAATCTTTGTCACAACAGGTTATAAATTGCTTTGAGTTTCAAATCCCTTGTCTCCACCGTTATAATGCGCT